CATGGACCTTCCCAATTCGGTCTGAGCTTACCAACGCCAGGCTCAGGTACCATGACCTTCTGAAGAACTAGGTCGCCGATGCGGAAGTGTCATTTTCTGACCCGAGCGTTATAGTACCGAGCTACTCTTTGTTGGTAAGCTGCAGTCCGGATGTAAGCCAGGCCTCGTACCTCTTCTACTAGGTCTAGGTTGGTACGGAACTCATCATCATTCGTCTCCTTGTCATAAGCCTCCAACCGTAGTGTGAGCACCTTGATTTCCATTGGGATCACTACTTCTGTGTCGTAAGTGAGGTTGAAAGGAGTTTCTCCTGTGGCGGTCTTAATGGTAGTTCGGTAGGCCCAAAGGACACTAGGCAGTTCGTCTACCCACAACCCCTTGGCTCGGTCTAAGCAAGCTTTCAGTCCGCGAAGTATCGCTTTATTAGTGACTTCTGCTTGCCCGTTTGCATGGGGGTGTGGCACCAAGGAGAAGTTTTGTTAAATTCCCATTTCGGCACACCAAATTTGAAACTTGATATCCTCAAACTACTTCTCATTGTCGGAGATGAGTACCCGAGGTAGCCCGAAGCGACATACTATGTTTTTCCAAAAGAAATTATGTATGTTGCAGGCTATGATCGTCACCAAGGGTTTGGCTTCCACCCACTTCGTAAAGTAGCCCACTGCTACAACTAAGAACCTTCTCTGTCCTATTGCTGGTGGGAAAGGGCCTAAGATGTTGATTCCCCACTACACGAAGGGTCATGGGCTAGTGAGGTAATTCAAATCAGCATCAGGTTGATGGTGGATGTTGGCGTGCCTCTGACACCTATCGCACTTCTTAACGAACTCGAGTGCATCTGCCTTCATTGTGGGCCAGTAATATCCTTGCCGCAATGCTTTCTGTACGAGAGCTCTGTCGCCCAAGTGTCCGCCGCACAAGCCTTCATGGGTGTCGCGGAGTACATACTCGGCCTCTAAGGGTCGCAAGCAGCGCAAATTGGGGAGTGTAAAAGACCTTTTGTACAGTTGTCCATCTATAAGCACGTACTTAGCTGACCGGCGCTCTACCCTTCGGGCCGCATTGCGTTCTACAGGTAGGGTCCCATGAAGCAGATAACTTATGAGTGGGTCGATCTAGCTCGGTTCTGCTTGTGATACGGGAGCGACCTCTTTCCCCCCCGAGAATGCTAGGCCGAGGTAAGTCCTCTCTGTACACGGTCTGCATGGTGTTACTGCTTGTGCTAGCTAATCGGGACAAGGCGTCGACCTCAGCGTTCTCGAACCTCGGAATCTATCTGATGAAGTAGGAGACGAAGCCACGCAGGATCTCTTTGACTTTGGTCAAGTAAGCAGCCATAGTGGGGTCACGAGCTTCGTACTCACCATTGACTTGGTTGACTACTAGCTATGAGTCGCTGCATATGACGAGGTGCTTTGCCTTCATTTCCCATAGACGGCGCCAATTGTTGTTGCGTGATTTGACTACTCCTAGCTAGAGGGTGATTTGTCTTCCAATCGAGCAGCGAGCTGGATCTATCTGCAAGACAACGGATTAGATAACCCAGGGTGGCTAACCCGGCGAGGTGGCTCCAATGCTTAAGTTAGTATGTTGTAAGCGCGAGCTGAGTGCTTAAGAGGTTGAGAGCTTGAATGCTAAAGAGTAGAATAATCACGCGTACCTTTGCCTTGAGGTTCCCGTCTTTATATACTGGAGTAGTCATGGGTCTCACGAAAGAGCTCCGGGGTGTGGAGATAGGGTTCGTTCCGCTTCCGAATGAGCAGTAAGTAGATAAGGCTGATCGTTTCTCTTCCGACTCTAGCGGAGCTGGGATGAGTTCTCATCGTGATTTGGAAAAGTCGAGATCTGTTAGCTCATCGTGATCTTGAGAGATTCGGGATCTGTTAGCTCATCATGATCTCGAGAGATTCAGGATCTGTTGGAGAGACCTCTAGAGTCGGTTACGTGGCGATTCAGGTTGTTAGCCCCGAACTGATACTTCGATTCTTTAGTTCCGAACTGGATTGGATGTCGAGGTGAGTTTTGGGCCGAGGTGGATGATTACTCGAGCTCAAACGCTGCGAACTACGCTTTCCAGGCTGAGCTGTCATCCCTTAGTCAGGTTGTGTCCACATGTCCCCTTCTCGCTAGGTCGGGCCAAATCACCCTTCATCAGGTGGGAAAGTTATTTACCCATCTAGGAGATGTGATACCGAGGAAAATAAATTTTCCCTGGTCCCCATATAAATCTTAAAAAAGAACATGAGATTCTTAGTCAATGGGAACCAAAATCCCATTGACCAACTTTCCCCTTCTCAAAATATGAAAAAAGAACGCCACCTAAAGGTTTCACTAAAGAGGGTTATGTGGGGCCACTTAAAAGATATATTTAAAATTACAGGATATGTTTGAGAATTGGCCCTAAAGGTTTCACTTGCACACTGGCTCGTTATGCATTCTACTTGGGCTTTAGTATAAGAGTTTCAATACGTGATAAGCTTGAGTTGGGATGATTTCTTATATTTAGGGTCCATTTGGTTAGGGGTGGCAACGAGCTGAGATTTTCACGACTGTTCGAGCTCGACTCGTGAGGCTCGCAAGCCGGTTCATATATATATATATATATATAATAAATAAAAATATTATAATTTTTAATTTTTCAAATATCAAATAAAAAATATTTTTATATATAATTTTTATTATTTATAAAACATTTTTTCTCAAAATCGAGTTCGAGCTTATAAATTTTTTTACTCGAACCGAGCTCCTACCATTTGATTGGGTGAAATCGGAATTCCATTCTCATTCTTGACCGAATGGCATTCTTCCATTTGAATGAATGGCCATTCAGCCCCTCTCCTCCAATGGTTAAATCCACCGTCGTCATTGCCAGAAATAATTTCGTTTCAGCTCTGATTCTGATTCCTGTCTCTGAATCAAACCAGTAGACCAAATGAAACTCTTTCGGAGTTCCCGTCTCAGTTTTTCTTAGACGATGTGTAGCAGCTTGGGGGGRMGACAGGGTCAGCCTATATGTAATCAGGTACACTTACAAAATTGGATTGACATGGCTGATAGGGTTCGTTTGACCCAGATGGGCTGAATCAATTTGGAATGCCTAGCATTTATAATTGGGATTTAATATGGATATAAATTTAATTCATTCATATGTTATCAATCCACTTGTTACAGCTAATTAAATGATTACAATTTTGACTCTTGGAGGCTTTGGAGCTTAAGCTTGGGTATTAATTGGATTCAATTCCATTAATTATATCATGGGGAAGGGGAAATGGTAACTCCAATTAAGACCATTAGATTACTCATTGACATGGAGTGGTTATATTAATACTAATTCTCTATGATCCTCTTGCATATCCTCCTCACTTATCCTTCTCTGAGTGATGATCAGACAGGAGCTGAACGACTAGCAGAATCCTCCCAAAATGTGAAAATGTCGACAGCCAAGTTTATATTGGGCCCAATAGTAAACTCGCCCTTATAACTACAATGGACATGGGCCCAATAGTATGCAACTTTGGATCTCAGTCAACTTTGTTCGCAAAAAAGTCCAAGATATGTTGATGATTTTATGACCCAAGTTTAGATTCGAAGCAACTCCCATAAACGGTCCAACAGATAGATATTTGTATCTACAGCTCAAACTTAGGAGTCCTGGATGTGATTCAAATGCAACAGAAAACAAAGGAAGTGTTGAAGTCTCTTTCAATATGATGCGCGGGGTTCCCATTATTTATATATATATATATATAGTGCTTCCTTAATGATAACAAGTAAATTGGAGACTTGATTTAATTTACCATAGCCACTGAGTGAACTGTTTGATTCTCTCTGTATTAGAACGAAAATCTCTCACTACTGAACCCATCTCATCTATCTTAGTGACGACCCTTTAGTCTGCCAACGGGTTTCTCCAGACAGTAAGGAAACTTGTGTTGCAGTGAATCAAGCAGTGTTGCATGGACTCTCCTAAACATGAATAATGTGTTGTTTTTAGGGCTGTAACTTGGGTTGAAGCTTGGATCAGGCTAAGGTCCTAAGGATAGGAAAATATAAATCCAATTTAACTTCAGGTTGGGTTAGGGTCGATGTTTTGACCAACCCAACCCAATTCAAACCCAATCCTCATATTTTTATTAATAAATATTATGTAAAAATATTTATGTATATAAGTACTACTTATGCATATATTTATATGTAAATTATGCATCCATTATTATATTTATTTATGTATTCATAAATATGCATGTGAACAATTTTAAGTTTAAAGCCCAAATTTTCCAAAAGCATCATAGCTATATGTTCTTTTACATATAATAATACTAAAATGAAATTGACCTTGATCCTTGAGTATATGGGAAATAAGAATAGCAAAAAGAAGGCCCTACCCAAAAACCTTGGGTTAGGGTTAGGGTTGTGGGTTCGACAGCTTGAGTTGGGTTTAGGTTAGGATTTACCTCAACCCGACCCAACCTAGTTGTGTTGTATAACATTTTCTTTTCATCTCCTYATTTGATATAAATTAAAGGCTTAGTTTGGAAAGAGTGTAAATGCAAATATGTATACTGAATACCTTATACAAAAACAACCTGCGTGCATGATAGTACAGTTACCATTAATAATAGAGCTTGCAACTAATTAACCTCAATATGGCCGGTAGCAAGGTCCCTTTCTCTTCACCTCTTGATCATCCATATTATTCTGTTTTTATCTCAAAAGTGAGTTCATGAAGATGAGAAATGATATCAAGCTACTTTCATGGATCACTATTATTGCAGTTGGGTTTGACTAGTTTAGTTTTCTGGATAAACCTTTTTAACCAACAGGGTTCAGTTGAGCAACTATTTATATTGGATGGGTTGCGTTACGAGCTCCTTCCACTCAGAGACGTATCAAAAGTTACAACACTGGTCCATCCAATTCGATCTTTACTAAACGTCCACCAATTCATAATACTCTCTCTCTCTCTCCCAAACTCAATCAACTACTTTGGAACGATGAATTCCGACGGTAGATTTCCTGGATTTGGCACTAACACAATTCCTGGGCACAAACCAGGTGGTTACCGAGGAGTAAGGGTGCGGAGGAGCGGCAAATGGGTATCTGAAATACGTGAGCCAAAGAAGTCCAGTCGCATATGGCTGGGCACATTTCCAACCCCAGAAATGGCAGCTACCGCTTATGATGTCGCGGCATTGGCGCTTAAAGGTCATAGTGCTGAGCTAAACTTTCCGCTCTCCGCCACATCCTTGCCGGTTCCTGCGTCAACCTCCCCGCGTGACATTGGCCGCAGCTCTTGATTCTTTGTCAGGGTTGACGTCAAGGGACCAAGGCAAGATCAATTCATCATCAGTAATTTCTGAAATATCCCTCGATTCGAATGAGTACATTGACGAGGATTTCATCTTTGACATGCCTAATCTCCTTCTGAATATGGCAGAAGGGATGCTGCTTAGCCCTCCACCATTGGAAGTGGCTGAGGATGAGGAAGATGAGGTCACCACCGAAAGCACAGGAAACCAAAATCTGTGGAGCCATCCTTAATTACTTAAATATCCATGCCCTCTCTCTCTCTCTCTTGATCAGTAGTTGTAGTACGTGCATGCAGAGGCCTCTCCCTGCTCATTCTTAGGAGTTTATATTTTTGTTCTTGGATGTAATTGCACTCCTCTTCTATTTAATATTTAAGGCCCGGTTTGATTGCAGTGCAATTTTATTTTCATTGGTGCAGAAGCATGGGACTTCAAATTTCCAATCATTTAATTATTTTTTGTTTCAGCTTTATTTGCTTTATCTTTTTTTGGTTGCATTGCAGATGAAATAAAATAAGACCTGAAGCAAAACTGTATAGAAATTACATTCTTCTCGATCCGTAATGCAAATGAAATTGTACTATAAATAAACGGAACCTGAGTATCCATTTTCCGGGAAGCTAGCTTGAAGGCGCCATTGCACCGCAAATCAGAATGCAAGGAAAAAACTCACTGACTCAACCCATTTGGGTCATCTCTGAGATTCAGAAAAGAAATTCTGCAAAATCAAGCTCAAACAGGAATTTATTCATCACCCCTAAAAGCTGCAGTAGTCTGAGTTTCATCATAACCTCATAATAATGAAATATAATACTTCTTAATTTCTATGTTTTTGTCTCAAAAAATTATGGTAAAGACAAAATAGAATGTATAAAAAAGATCAGATCACCCCATCAAAACCTAATGGGCCGGATTGTACAGGAGAAAGAAATAAGAAGTGATCAGACGTTACATCCCAGTTTGATGAATGATAAATGATAAAAGCAATGTTGGTGTCAATCAGTAAGAATTATCAGGAAGCTAATACTTGGCAGTTGGCTCTGATTTTCTTTTAGTTAACCAACATCAAATTTCATTAGTGCTAGTGGTATAATTATTTCAAAGTGTGGCTTAGTGAATTTGTATTGAAGTTGGCCAATGGTGATGATGTGCCATACAGCATACCACACTGGGACCCATCTTATCCTTTGTTGATGTGTCACTATCAATGGCTCAAGCAACCAACAAGTGACACTCTATCATTTGCCAATGCTTGTTACAGAATGTCATCTCAAAAGAGTCAAGATGGAAATGCTGATATCTCACCTTCCACTACATGAGATTGTCTGGACTCCAAAATGTGAAGTTTGGTGTACTAAGTTGAAGTCTAACCCTTGATGTAGAACGGTGTCTGGGAGAATATAGAATGATAGAAGCTGAGTCTGGGTCAGCTTTCCCTTCGGCAACCAGAACTGCACATGGATTTGGATGGTGCTGCTCTGTGCTTGTCCAACATAACAACGAAAGATTCCATCCGGGTGCATGCATGGGACTGTAAATGTCCAACCAATAACTGAAAGAAACCTAGAGAAGTACCATCCCTATTTAGACAATGGAACGAACTTGGCATCATCATGGTCATGGGCTACCATTTGAATGGACATGGGCCTGAATTTTGGACTGATGAACCCTAGATATTTATATATATANTATATATATATATATATATATATATATATATATATATATATTTTCCAATAATATAGAGTGATGGTTGTTGGGGTTGGGGGAAAGGGGAAAGGGGGTTTTAGGTTATTCTGCCAATGTGATCATCAACTAATGGGTTTACACTTTACAGGAGTGTGGGCCTTGATCAAGACTCAACCATTGCGGCTGCGTTGAACGCCTCTTTTCGTTGGATTCCAACTGTTCTATACACATCTCCAGATGGCTTAGCTAAGGTAGGGGTGCATACAACTGAATTATATAGCAACTATATATTGCCCTTAATTAATTTCGAGTGGGCCTTACCCAACCTCGTAATTTTATTTCGTTTTGCTTTATGTTATGTTCGGGTAGGATTGGGGGGTATTGCAACTTGGGATCACGGGGCCTGGTTCAGTAACAACCCACACCCAATACTAAGAGTTGTACCTAACTCAAGGTTGAGCTCAACCCAATATAGAAAACAGGTTTGGTAGCCCAAGCCCAACCGCAGTTGAACCTATAACAGCTTGGTCCTGGAAGGGTCTAAATGGGTTTGTTCAATTTTGAGGATTGGCTATATCTCTTTACTCTTATATGCTATTTATTCTGTTTATTGGAGCAAATGTGAAAGAAAAAAAAAATTAACAAAAGTGTTATTAATACATAGTTTTTATTTATACATAATAATGCGTCTGCTTGTGGATGGGCTTGGGCCAAATTTTGTTTCTCAGCAATGGCAAACCTTTAATTTTTTTTGGTAGAAATTTTCTAACTTTTTCTGTCATCATCATCGTTATCTTTTACACTGTGTTTGATTTGAAGGAAAAAGTAGGGAAAGGAAGGAAAGGGTAGGAAAACACAAGATGAAAGAAAATAAAGGGTTACTTCTGAGAATTACACATTAACGAGAGAGTGAATATTACCCTATAAACTAATCGGTTTGGTTTTGTTATAGTGTCAATTTTGTTCATCTGACCCCGACCAAACACTTCACTCAATAGAAGTTCAATAAAGATATTAATCATGAGTGCACTTTCAAAAAAAAAAAAAAAACTAATTTTAAATTTTTGATAGATCAAGGCACCATTATATTTAAGCATGTAAAGACATTTTTTTCTACCATTTAAAAGTCGGGTATTGTAGGAATTATTTTTAAAAAAATCCCATCTAGCTATTCTTTTTTTTTTTAACAGAAATTGCAAGGGCTCCACATAGCAATCGTTGGGATGGTCCTAATTCTCCAATGGACAAGAACTTAACCTACTCTTCTTCAACCAAAGACAACACAAGCATTGAACAGAGTAATCTCAAAGAAGAAAACTTAATGAAATTGAAATCTCAATCTAAACCTTGCCTCAAAGGATTCCAATGTGGCTCAGAAACCGTAGCTCTTTTTTTTTAATTAACTTCCAAATTAGTAGCTAGAACACCAAAAGAAGACTACTTTCATACATCTATCACTGCGGGCTACTGGAAGAGCGGGCCTATGGAGCTTTGAAAGTCTGAGAGATTGTAAGTCAATGTCTTTAAGGGCAGGGGTAAGGTTAGTAAGATCAATTAGTCTTTGAAAGACACAACAACCCCTTTTATATGAATAGTGTAAAAGTAGGTGTACAATTAAGGCTGTGTTTGATTGCAGTGCAAATTTATTTGTACTAATACAAATGCATGAGAGTGTAAATGTAAAAAAGTGCAAATTCTTGTTTAATTTTGTTTTGGATTTTATTTTATTCTGCTTCATGTTTTAATTTACTTTATTTGTACTGCAATCAACCAAAATAAACTAAAATTTGAAACAAAAATATGTCAGAATTTACACTCAAATCATTTGCACTGCCATAGTTTTGCATCAGTACAAACTTATTTGCATTGCAACCAAACACAGCCTAAGGGCTCAGTTTGGACGGAGTACAAATATAAATATGTAAAATGCAAAACTTTGTATTTTTTATTGTTTTGTATGTATTTATACTGTACATATTTTCTTTTGTACTCTTTCCAAACATAGACCAAGTATTAATTATATATGATATATAGTATTTTGATTTAATTTTTATGTAAAGGTGCAATTCGGGTAGGTCAAATGGCATAAAGTGGTAGACACCTATTTGTAGAAGAATATCCCAGCTTGTGGGAATAACGCCTCCCCTAATCAGCCCAGGTCCCTTGCCCATAATGTTCATGGACTCATGGTTACTCCCTCTTTACTCGGTTGTTGGCCCATGATTAATGGGTAGCCATTACTGACCTAGTATGTCATGGCCAGCTCGTCAATGAAATTCTCATTGTAAGGCAATGGTATGAATGGTCTAGGCTAGCTTTAAAGTTGAGAATAAAGGAAGCAAAGGGAAATTAGGGTTTTAAGAGCTTGGGAAGACACTTAGGCTGCGTTTGGAAATGATGCAAATAGAGTGTAAATCCTGGTTCAAGGTAAATTTGCATTCTAGTTCTCTTTTGCTTGTGTTTGGCAATATTACATTTATACATTGACGAATGATAGGAAACACATTTTCCAATGCATATTTACATTGATAATGAGTAGGAATGGCAATGGGTAGGATACCCGTGTAAATTGCACTACCCATTCCTGAACCCGCCAATGTATCCTTGACTCCAAATCCGTCCTAAACCGTCTAACTTTTCCTCTCAAATTCCCAAATCCATTAAACCCCTAGATCGAACGTTTTCTACTAAAAAAAGTTTCTTAATGCTTATAGTGTAACTTGAACCCAGATCAATTAATGATAATACCAAATCTCTTAGCACTACTTTAAGCCACTAAGCCATCTCGCCCTTTCTTTTATTTAATGAAATAAAATAGATTTTATTAACTTTTGTGTTCGTCAAAACAATCAATACATATATATGATTAACAATTCCAACTAAAAATTAAAAGAAATAATATTTAAAWTTWRMAWTTTATAACTAAATGAAATAAACAATCTATCAAATCCAAATTTACATCAAATGATGATTTTAATCCCAAGAAATTTATACAAAACAAAATATTAATAGTAGAATAATTATCTTAGTACTTAAAATTTATAAATTTGTGCATGATATATAATATAATAGGTTCATATTTATGCATCTTGGATATCGGGTATAGGATACCCTAAAGTCAAAACCCAAACCCATCCCAAACCTATAGGGTTTTGATAAACGGGTCCTATTAGGGTGGGGATAAGTCGGACACCCAAAAATTTCCGTGAAATTGCCATCCCTAATAATGAGATGTAAAAGTACATCAATAAAATAGAAGTAAATTTGCATTCAAGTGGGCTTTTTATATAAAAAAAAAAGACATATACTTTATTGGAATTCATGTTTGCATCCATTACAGCTAAAAGCTTGTGCAAAACTAACTCAACTTTGTTAAATTTTCCGGTGCAAAACTAACTCGACTTTGCAATTTATATGGACCGTTTTACACTCTACATATTTACATTCACACTTATTTGCATCATTTCCAAACACAGCCTTTGGGGAGAAAGGAAGAAGAAGAGGAAGAAAAGAAAAAGGAATAGGGGCAGAGCCAATAATTTC